TTGCCTGCCCCTAAAACCATCTGCCGATTTCCTTAGGGGGTTAATCTTAACAAAACCCTTATCCTATTGTACGAAATGCCGTTCCTCCCGGTTGAAATATCTTCTCTTCTCGACTCTCTTTCGTCTGACGTTCCCTAGAAGGTCGGGTTAGCTGATAAAGAGTATTGTGTGGAGAGTATCTTGCCGCTCCCGTTGTGCGAGGGGCTACTGGGATTGTTGTTTTGCCCTCCCTTCTGGCATTGGCCGGGGAATTGACAATGTGTCCTGGCAGTGGGAACGTGGCGCATGACGTTATTTTGCATCATGAAATTGACGACTGACTTGCAAGTCTGTGCCAATTGTTTGCCATCATCTTTACCTCTCGTCCCTTCCTAGGCACCTATCCTGTCCAAACCTGTGAGGTCGTTCCGTTGTAGTACCTGCTTCGATCAGTTTCTTGGTGCGTCGCCAGTCTGGCCGACTCTTTTACTTCGTGAGCTTACTCCATGAGTTTTTGCGTTGGACCTGTCTCACGCCATCTCAAGTCAATAGGTCTCCCACTCCCAGTAGGATGTCGTTCACCCAATCTTTCCTTCTGTCCGTTGCTGGCCATCTATTCTACTTTCTTTCCCATAGACGGCGCCAAATTATGTGAGTGATTTATCCGATTCACACTACCCCAACTCAGATTCAGCTGGAAGAAAACACTGGCAGAATAGATGGACCACCTGGCTAACCTGTAACAGAAAAGAAAAGATTCCGGCGGTTGGTTCGGTTCCACCCAGGGCACTCTGGAACGATCAAGGCAGTATATCTCTCAAAGATAGATCAAATAGTGCTAACTCACTAGACAGAATATAAATTGTGTACCTTAGACCACAGGGGGTCCCTGGCTCTTTTTATAGCTAACTCAATCCTTGTCCCAACAGGAGCCTAGCTCTAATGGACTCAGGATTACGTATCAATCTTGGACTCTCAGTAGATTGGGATAAACTCTTCCTAAGAGTCTTATCCTTTTCTAACTAAATCTTCTCTCATTCTAGGGACTCTTGTCCCTTATCCGCTTTGTCTCGGATGTCCGATATCTTCGAGAGATAACCTCGGCTTAACCCGAGATTTCACTGTTCGGCGTCATGATCTGGAGACGTCGGCACCACGAACTGACACGTCGGCATCACCTTGGCCACGTGTTGGTACGCAAAAATATATCCCCACAAAATATAATTGTAGATGGTTGTGTATTTGCTCTTTAGTTGCCACTTGGTTGAGGTCAACCGTTTGATTATGATGTAGGATAAGCGCTTAATTGGTTTGAATTTAATCAATGTTCGTAAAGTCAACCCTTTTACCTCAGCACTTAACAATCATTCCAGTCTCCTTTTGTAGGTCCATGAATATTGCACACAAATGTTTAATATTTTAGCTTGATCTTCATTGTTCTGAATTCAGAAAACTAGACAGCTGGGGGACATCGAGTTATTTGTGTATCATTTTGGCGTGTGATGATTTAGGTTTAGAAGATGAAAAAAA